ATGTTCTAACAGTGTTCCAACAGGTTCTAACATGTTCTAACAGTGTTTCAACAGGTTCTAACATGTTCTAACAGTGTTCCAACAGATTCTAACATGTTCTAACAGTGTTCCAACAGCTTCTAACATGTTCTAACAGTGTTCTAACAGACTTATTCTAACATGTTCTAACAGTGTTCCAACAGCTTCTAACAGTGTTCTAACAGACTTATTCTAACATGTTCTAACAAGTTCCAACAGTGTTCTAACAGGCTAACATGTTCTAATAGTGCTCCAACAGGTTCTAACATGTTCTAACAGTGTTCTAACAGGCTATAAAATGTTCTAACAGGTTCCAATGTTCCAACAGTGTTCTAACAGTGTTCTACCGGGTTCCAATAGGTTCCGTGTTCGAACAGTGTTTCAACAGGTTCTAACATATTCTAACATGTTCTAACAAGTTCCAACGTTCCAACAGTGATCTAACAAGCTAACATGTTCTAACAATGTCCCAACAGGTTCTAAGATATTCTAACGTTCTAACAGTGTTCCAACAGGTTCTAACGTGTTCTAACAGTGTTCCAACAGGTTCTAACATATTCTAACAGTGTTCCAACATTCCAACAGTGTTCTAACAGGCTATAACATGTTCAAACAGTGTTCCAACAGGTTCTAACAGTGTTTCAACAGGTTCTAACATGTTCTAACAGTGTTATAACTGTGTTCTAACAGGCTATAACATGTTCTAACAGTGTTCCAATGTTCCAACTGTGTTCTATATAACATGTTCTAACAGTGTTCCAACGTTCCAACAGTGTTCTAACAGGCTAACATGTTCTAATAGTGTTCTAACGGGTTCCAATAGGTTCTGTGTTCTAACAGTGTTCTAACAGGTTATAATGTTCCGTGTTCTATATAACATGTTCTAACAGTGTTCCAACGTTCCAACAGTGTTCTAACAGGCTAACATGTTCTAACAGTGTTCTAACAGGCTATAACATGTTCTAACAGTGTCCTAACAGGCTAACATGTTCTAATAGTGTTCTAACGGGTTCCAATAGGTTCCGTGTTCTAACAGTGTTGTAACAGGTTAACATGTTCCAACAGTGTTGTAACAGGTTCTAACAATGTTCTAACAGTGTTCTAACAGCCATGCTAAATAAAGTAGCCCGTTTTCAGCATTTGCTTTCTCCCACTATCAGCGATCGCCAAAATTTCCATTATGAGTCGGATCGGTCGGGCTCTAATTTAAGAACCAAAAGTTTAAATATTACAGAAAGAGGCTTTATTTCCTCACCTCTGAGTTTCTCTAACAGACAAGAGAATCCGAAACAAACCTGCTCGGTCAGTGTGGCCCCTCACTGACAGGACACGCTAACGCTGTTTCTGGTCAAAAATAAGAACTAAAGGCTTTTTACACACACTTCACCAGCCTCAAGGTTTACTTTAATATTTTCTGTCGGAATACATAGACCCTGCCAAGAGAAGAAAACTGTAAACTGTAGTTTACAAGTTAAATAGTTTAGGTTAGCAAGATAGCTTCTTGGCTAGCACGGATTGGCGAAAGACAGAAAAGTTAGTCTGATTGAGAAAAAATATATAAATATATTTACCTGTGGTCTGATCAAACATACAAACTGTTCGTTACGTAAATGATTAAGGCTTCGTTTCTTGAAGAAATTCACTACAGAACTGCGTGACAAGGCGTCGCAGGCTTCAGATACAACCACAGACTAACATTTCATAACGACTGGGTCAGAGAGAAGTACTTCTGCCCTTCAAAATAAAAGCAGACTTCCAACGACTTCCGCTCTTCAAAATAAAAGTAAACTTCCAGCGAACCACTTCCGCTCTTAAAAAAATAGCAGATTATAGCAGAACCATTTTCGTTCTTTAAATTAAGAGCAGGCTTCCAGCGAACTATTTCTGCCCTTAAAAATAGAAGACTTCCAGAGAACTAAATTCGCCATTCAAAATAAGAGCTGACTTCCAAAGAACTACTTCCTCCCTTCACAATAAGAGCAGACTCTTCTTCGTGATTTTTGGAGGTTGGCACAAACGTTTTGTTTTTTTTATTCCCCTTTATTAACAGCATTTACAACAAATATGGCATCGATAACAGAGATATTCAAATCTGTAAAAGCCAGCACAGGTTGCTTCCAAACACACAAAAATAATAATAAAAAAATAAAAACAATAATAATACAAGAATCAAACAGAATAAAATAAAAAATAAATAAATAAATAAACAAATAAAATAAAAACTGGGGGTTTTCCAGTAGTTTCAGTTCGTTTATCGTATGAAACAACTCCACACCTTGATGTTTGTCCATGAACTTCATAGAGAAGAAGAGGTGGCAGAGTTCCTTGTGAAAAGTGGGAATGATGGTTTTGTTTTAAGGAAACGGCACTTGTGAATGAAATATTTGCCCACAAAAATAATTACATTTAATAACCTTTCAAGAGCTTTTTCTTTTCTCAGGGATCCAAAAATAATGTCATTCTTAGCAAATTCACATAAATGTGGGATTTTAGGGAAAAGCCAGTAGTGCACATCATCCCACAAATCTTTAAAATACGTACATTCATAGAAAATGTGTTCTGTTGATTCAGTATTATCATCACAAAATGAACAAGTGCTGTCAACAATTGCAAAACGATGTCTGAGGAATTCCTTAGAGGGGTCAACCCCTGAAAAGGTTTTATAGTGAACTTCCTTAGCTTTTGGAGGAATGGGAAGATTTAAATAATTTGTTCTAATTTTTTTCTTTTGATCCTTTGAAAAGAAACGTGAAATAAATTTGGGTTAGATACAAAGGGAAACAGAGTATTAGTAAAAAAAAAAATTCTCTAATTTTAGAATTTCTAAGTTTATTATTTGTAATGTTGTGCCCATTAATCAGAAGTCCAGGCAGAACAGGACTTCTATAAGCAGGTTCTCATAAAGACTTTTAGCTTACATAAAATGTTTGGGGGAATAGCTCTAATAATTTTTTGAAATTCACTTTTATTTACTTGCAGGTTATATTTAACAGTGAAATCTTCAAAAGACATAGCAACTCCATCATTTAATAAATGCATCACAGACCAAATAACTTGTTCAAACCAATTATGTGCAAAGATTGATTTATTTCTAACTTTTATGTAACGACAGTTCCACAGGGAGAGTTGTATGGGCTGTAGTTATGTTTGTAGATTAATCTCCAGTATAATAAAACTTGCTGGTGAAAGAAGGAAAGTTTTTTAACATCAAAGTCACATTTAAGAAGGAAGTTGACTCCACCCAGATTTGAAAATATTTTGCTTGGAATATGGAACCAGAGCGTTTTGATTAGTTAAAAATGACGGAAGCCAATTTATTTTTAAGGTGCCATTCAGGCTGTCAAGCTCAATAACTTGCAGTCCTCCATCGTCAAACTGTTTGATTAAATTACTTTGTCTGATATAATGTTTTTTGCTTCCAAATAAAATCAAAACTCATCCGATTAATAGATTTAATTGCTGAATTGGGTATTCCTAATGTATATGCAGGGTAGATAAGCCTTGAAATACTTTCCATTCTGGTGAGATATATTCCTCCCAGAATAGATCAATCTCTGTGTGTCCACTTATTTAAATGAGTTTTGCAATGTTGTAGTTTCTCCCAAATATTAAGGTTTTCTAATTCAGACTTATTTTTATTTATATACACACCCAGATATTTGACATTAGATTTTACAGGAATATTAAAAGCAGTTGATAAAGCGCAGTCTTTTAGAGGCAACATTTCACATTTATGTTTAGTTTAAGCCCTGAGGCCTTTGAAAAATGTTCAATTAATTGGAGAATTTTAGGAATTTCATTGAGGTTATTTAAAAAGATTGTCGTGTCATCAGCTAACTGACTGATAGAAACTTAGTCTAGCACAGATAATTTACCAAATTGAGCATTTTTAACTGATATGGAAATCATTTCTGTAGCTGCAATAAACAGCAAAGGAGAGACTGGACATCCTTGTTTTATACCTTTGTTGATCCTGAATCTTTGCGAGGTACCATGTGTAACACACACTGAGCTGTTTGTATCTTTGTACAATGTTTTAATTACATTAATAAATTCATTACAAAATCCAAAGAAATCTAAAGCTTTGAACATAAAGTCATGTTCTGTCATATCAAAGGCTTTATAAAAGTCTAAAAATAAAACAAAACCTTCATTTTCAACTAAGTGGTTATATTCAATTAGGTCCAAAATAAGACGAATATAATTATGTATGGAGCGGCCTTTTAGAAAACCCGACTGTCAGAAATAATTTGAGATATGCCTGATTTTATTCTGTTAGCAAAAACGTGGGTCAAGAGCTTGTAATCATTATTGAATCGTGTTATAGGTCTTAAATTATCAAGAAGAGTCGGATCTTTCCCAGGTTTAGGCATGAGTGTATTAATACCTTGTTTCATGGTGTGTGTTAAACAGTCAGTTTCTAATATTTCAGTAAGCATTCCAAACATCAGGGTTCTGATATGAACCCAAAAATGTTTGTAAAAGTTACTTGTCGGGCCATCACATCCCGGGGCTTTATCTATGGATAAAGTACCGAGAGCTTTAACCAGTTCTTCTATGGTAATTTCTGCCTCACATCTCTGCTTATAAATGTCGTTGATTTTAGGAATCAAAGGCTGAATAGAATGATAGAATGTTTCTGCCATATGGTTATTATATGAGGAAGAATATAAATTGCTGTAGAAGGTAATAATTTCTTTGGACATTATTTTTGAGTCTGGTTGTCACAAATGTGAAGAGTGCATCACCATCACCTACTGATGGAGTGACTCAAAATGTTTAACACGCTCCTAAAGCATGCTCAATAATTTCAGGTAGAAAAATCTAACAAAGTTAAATAAGCGTACATATATATATAGACTTTAACTACTAACCTGGCTAAGACCAAAGAGCTGTCCAAAGACACCAGAGACAAAATTGTAGACCTCCACAAGGCTGGAAAGACTACGGGGCAATTGCCAAGCAGCTTGGTGAAAAAAGATCAACTGTTGGAGCAATTATTAGAAAATGGAAGAAGCTAAACATGACTGTCAGTCTCCCTCGGACTGGGGCTCCATGCAAGATCTCACCTCGTGGCGTATCAATGATCCTAAGAAAGATGAGGAATCAGCCCAGAACTACACGGGAGGAGCTGGTCCATGACCTGAAGAGAGCTGGCACCACTGTTTCCAAGGTTACTGTGGGTAATACACTAAGACGTCATAGTTTAAAATCATGCATGGCACAGAAGGTTCCCCTGCTTATATCAGCACACGTCCAGGCCCATCTTAAGTTTGTCCATGACCATTTGGATGATCCAGAGGAGTCATGGGAGAAAGTTATGAAGTCAGATGAGACCAAAATAGAACTTTTTGGTCTTAATTCCACTCGCCGTGTTTGGAGGATGAAGAATGATGAGTACCATCCCAAAAACACCATCCCTACTGTGAAGCATGGGGGTGGAAGCATCATGCTTTGGGGGTGTTTTTCTGCACATGGGACAGGACGACTGCACTGTATTAAGGAGAGGATGACCGGGGCCATGTATTGTGAGATTTTGGGGAACGACCTCCTTCCCTATAGAGCATTGAAGATGGGTCGTGGCTGGGTCTTCCAACATGACAATGACCCGAAGCACACAGCCAGGAGAACCAAGGAGTGGCTCCGTAAGAAGCATATCAAGGTTCTGGAGTGGCCTAGCCAGTCTCCAGACCTAAACCCTATAGAAAATCTTTGGAGGGAGCTCATACTCTGTTTCTCAGTGACAGTCCAGAAACCTGGCTGATCTAGAGAAGATCTGTGTGGAGGAATGGGCCAAAATCTCTGCTGCAGTAAACCTGGTGAAAAACTACAGGAAACCTTTGACCTCTGTAACTGCAAACAAACACTACTGTACCAAATATTAACACTGATTTTCACAAGTGTTCAAATACTTATTTGCAGCAGTAAAACACAAATAAATTATTTTAAAAATCTTACATTGTGATTTCCTGATTTTTTTTTTAGATTATGTCTCTCACAGTGGACATGCACCTAAGAAAATTTCAGACCCCTCCATGATTTTTAAGTGGGAGAATTTGCAAAGTTGCAGGGTGTTCAAATACTTGTTTTCCTCACACACACACACACACACACACACACACACACACACACACACAC